AAACATGGCATAAAGATCCCTAATTCGGTTGTGATCAAATACACTGCAAATCAAGTAACAGATGAGGAGGTCGTTGAGTTTTTGAGCCAGTACGGTAAAACATCAAAAGTTGAAATTATTACTGAACCGGATTGCGTCTTTGTTGACATGATTATTGTAGAGTTTGATTCGGGTAACGCGCTAGTTGAGCTGCGAAAAATTTTGCCATACACTTACATCTGTCACAGCGAAAAAATTACATACGACATTTGTGAACTCTCAAACATGTGTTCTGAATTTGAAGGTAAGCTCAAGACACAAAATTACTTGAGTGACTTAAAAAATTTGGCTAAAATTACAGGACAGGGCTATGCGGAGGTCCTCAAGGGTGTCATGTCTCTGCTGGGCCAGTCCATCACCGAGCTTAGCCCAACACCACCAGTGAAGACTCTGCCAGAAGTGAGTGCCAGTGTGATGTCATCACCACCCGGGGCCACACCACCTCCAGACCAACTCGATGCTGCCACCTACAGCCTACCAGGTGCAACAGCCCCCATACCAGATGTAAAGGAGGAATTGCCACAGCCCCAAACACCACCAGATCCTGCTGCTCAACACACATCCATGCCAAGACCGTCACTTCCAGCTATGTCTCTTCCTGACCTGAACCCACCTGGGGTCCAACGGTACGTCGTTGAGCACATTGTAAAAAGTGATGACAGCACAGCTCACCTGTCCTCTCAGAGGCTCCGATCCTTTTCCGGCCGCATTCCAAGACCCCAACACGAAACCGACTTTGAAACTTGGCGTTCTGGTGTCGACCTACTGCTACGAGATCCAGCAGTTTCAGATCTACAACGCTCAAGAAAAATTGTCGAAAGTCTCCTTCCGCCAGCAGCAGCAGATATGGTGAAGCATTTAAAACCCGAAACACCACCAAAAACTTACCTCCAGATCCTCGACTCTGCTTACGGAACCGTCCAAGATGGTGATGAACTGTATGCCAAATTCATGGAAATGTTTCAAGACGCTGGTGAGAAGCCCTCTGCATACTTGCAACGCTTGCAGGTTGCGCTCAACTTAACTTTGAAGAGAGGAGGGGTCTCAGCCACAGATTTAGATCGCCATCTACTCAATCAGTTTTGTCGGGGCTGCTGGGACAACACACTCATATCAGAACTCCAATTAAAACAACGCAAATCCCACCCACCATCCTTTGCTGAGTTTTTACTGTTAC